TTTTTCTACATGTGCATGAATTTGATGCTTTATGAAGTTTTTCAAGATTGTGGACAGAGTTTGCAAAATGTTTGGAGTTGATTAAAAGAGTCTGAGTTGTTTGCTTTATTTAATAAACCCTGGAACTTAACATAAAGGAGCAAGCCATTGAAGCAGTAGTGCATCACACTAAAACGGAAACGTCCAACTATTTATCCTTTGGTCCGCCAGGAATGACGAAGATTTGCCAAAATATTAAAATGGAAATAATTGGCATACAGAATGCAGAATTTAAAAATTAAGGATTACAAAAAGCAAATAATTTATATTTTTTAACTAGTCTTCTTGTCTCCAGCGAAACATGTAATGCCAGCAAAGAAACGGAAATACTTAATATTTGTCAAGCGAGTCATCTTTGCGAGTTCAAATGGAAAAAAAAAATTATATATATAAAAAACTTGTTGAAACCATGCACGTTTGTGGTCACTCAATATCTTACACGGATACGCGTCGCTCAAGAAGAAATTCAAATTTATTTAGAAAGCGATTACGCAACTGTCTCTAGACAATTGACGACGAGTTGGAAAATTTATTATACAATATTACAAGAGGATACCTCGGTTCTAAACACCTGTCTATGTAAAAAAAAGGCAGAGACATTCAATTTTCTGTTAAATAAGATTTTTTAATTTAGGCAAAACATTTCAGGCGTAACGAACCATTATGTTCCCGTAAAAGAAAATTTATGAAATGTATTGGTTCCTGTAAATGTGTGAAATCAATATGTAGCAATAAGCGAGACAAAAATGATCCCTGACTAATACTAAATATCTCTATTTTATCGGACATTGAAACAAATTCAGACTGAATGAAGAGTAAAAAACGTAATGACAATTTTTTTTATAAATCAAAAACCTATTATTTTTGCCGAAGATATACGCTAATATTGGATTGGAATGCGAAGAAGGATTTTTTTTAAGATTAACTTTTTACTTTTACTTAATTTTAGGTGTTATCATAGATATAATTTATATAATACAAATAATTAATAATGTCAAATATAATAAAACGGTACCATCCCTATGTAACAAGTAATTAATCAAAAAATCCAACTATGAGAAAAATACGTGTATCATATTTGCTACAAAAGAGGGTCTACAAGCAAAAACGATCCTAAGCGCTCTCCGCAACCGCTAAATCGTTTATTGCCTGACCGTCCTCGCAAATCTGACCCTTTCTAGCTGCTTCGCTGGTGGTCTTGATACATTATGATAATTAAAAAAAAAACGGACCATCCGATTGGGGTTTTTGAAAAAGTAACAGATTCCAAATAGTTTTCATGTTACACCGAGGTAAACGATAAACTAAAAATGACTTTTGAGGGCAAGCGTTTATTCGTGTGTGTAACTAATACCTCGACCAATAAAAAAGAGAGTTTTTAATTTTACTCATCCTTTTTATTTAGTTTTAGATAATAAAAATTTAAATAAAACAAAATAATACTTAAAAAATATTAAAAAAGGTTTGTGACTATTTGATTTCTAAAATTCATTGCAAACTCAGTCAGAATTATTACTGTTCGGTCGTATTCTCATAAAATCTTAGCAAAAGTTGACATCTTTTTAAAAAATATGTAACTCCTCCAAAACTAAATCCGCGGCACGTTACAAAGCGACCGCCAGCAAATTAAATATAAACGCACTCGGAGCCATTCGTGACGTACAAATGTGGAACGGATTTAGTTTTGGGTGAACCACGATTGCAATATCGAGCGAATTCTATATACAGCCGAAACTCTTTACTCATTTTGACTTCCTTAATATACAGTCTAATAGTAAAACATACCTTGTCACTTCTTGTATATATGAGAAACTTGGCATCATATATATATATATATATATATATATATATATATATATATATATATATATATATATATATATATATATATATATATATATATATATATATATATATATATATATATATATATATATATATATATATATATATATATATATATATATATATATTCTCACGTATTGATTCACGGATGGAAAAATATGATGACACTATATTCCGGGATATCATCCGTTCGCTCGTTGAACTCCGACTGGAATCCTGCAAATCCTGCATCCGACTGGAATCCTGCAGACGTTTCGCCAAAATCTCACTTGGCATCTTCAATGCTCGCGCTCCGAAAACACTTCGAACACTGGGAGGTTATCGGCGGTGCGTGCGGTATTTATACTCTGCGCCGGAGATGGTAACGGTGCTGCTTGTGCGTGGGGGGAGGTGGCTCCGCCCACTGAATTGTCGCGTTGTTAATTTCGCCCGATCGTAGTTGCGATGTCCCCGTTGGCTGCTGCGCATCGCTCTGCTGTTTGATTATCGTTCTCCACGTGTTGGATAAATGCAGAGCGTCGTCTCTCGTATTGAGGTGTCCGGACTTTTCTATTTCGATGGCCTCTCGTATAATCCTAGTCCTAAAATCAGGAATATTAGCTATTTGTTTGCAAGTGCCGAAATCAATTTTATGGCCTGTCTGATGTTGGTGCTGAAACAAAGCAGATGTTGTTTGTTTGTTTCTTATGGCTAAACGATGTTCCTCGAGCCTGGCTGAAATCCTTCTGTTGGTCTGTCCCACATACGTCAGGCTGCACGATCCGCATGCTACACTGTATACTCCTTGGTTTTCCAGAGTAATTTTTTGTTTTGGGTTTCTTAGTATTGCTCCGATGGTATGGTCAGGTTTGTATGCCGTTGATATGTCGTGTTTGCGTAATATTCGGCCGATTTTGTCAGTAACCCCCTTGATGTATGGCAGGACAGCGATCGATCTTCGTTGGGTCTCATCCTGCACTCTCTGCTGCGGCTGTTGTTGTTTACTGATTGCCTTGCTGATGGTGCGCCTTTGGTATCCGTTTTGTCGAAGACAGGTACTAATTTTCTTCAGTTCTTTATCTCTGTTCCTCTCGTTTATGAGCCTGAAGGACCGAGCAATTAATGTATTTGCCACTGCCTGTATCTGTGACGGGTGGTGATGAGATTTAGCGTTCAGATATCTATCAGTGTGGGTTGGTTTTCTATAGACAGTGTGTTCCAAGTGTCCATCTTCGGTCCTTGTGATGTGCACATCTAAAAAGGGCAGACTGTTATCCTCTTCCATTATGTATGGCGGAAGATCTTCGTTTTCTTCTATAAGCAAGAGTGCCTCTTCTACTGGAATACTCGGGTAGAGGGATTTGACATCGAAACTTGCCATAATGTCGTCCTTGTCCATCCTGAGAGAACCTAAAATCTGAGTGAAATGTTCTGAGTTTTTAACATAGGAATCTGCCTTTTCCACTATAGGCTGAAGTGCACTGGCCAGATGTTTTTCCAGCTTGCATAATGGTGAGTTAAAGGCGCTTACGATTGGACGCAGGGGAACCCCGTCCTTATGGATCTTTGGGAGCCCGTAGAATTTTGGGCAACGACTCGATTTTTCCCTCGGAATAAGTTTCTTCTTTGTATCCTCGTTTATTGATGAATCGAGAATTTTGGACTTAGTTGTTTTTTCCAAATATGTCGTGGGATCTCTGGTGACTAGTTTGTATATTGGGTCGTTCAAAATATCCTCCAATTTTGCATTATAATCCGACGTATTCATGACGACAGTGGCATTTCCTTTGTCTGCTGGCATTATTAGAATGTTTTCGTTTTTGTTTAGATTCCTTAAGGCTTGCATTTCTTCTCTGCTTAAGTTTGGTTGCGGTGGTTTTGACTGTCTTAAGACTCTGGCGACATCTTGCCTAATTAACTCCGCATCTTGTTCGTCTATGGTGGAAAGACTTGCTTCGACGTTGGAAACGATCTCTTCGACGGGTACTCTTTTTGGAGCTATTGCGTAGTTAAATCCTTTATTCAGTACGCTGACTTCTGTATTGGAAAGATGGTATGCTGAAATATTATGAACTGTACTGCTTCGGTTTGTATTTGGCACTTGTCCTGATTTTTTGGAATTTGACTGAAGGATTTCTAATTTCTTCCACAGTTTTTTTGACGTGATGTCCTTGTCTTTCTCAGTGCGCCATGATGTTAATAATTCTATGCGGTCCCACAGCAACTGATGGATCTTGTTGCTCAGTTTCAGGTGGAGTCTGAAAAGTTGTAGCTCAGTCTCACTAATTTCGTACCGGGTCCGCCTGATCTGGTCTTGGAGTAGGGCCTTGCTAGCTTTGTCCAGGATAGCTTGTGTCTTTCTGGTGCGTGTATGATAAGACAACCTTGTAAATGTTGGCAGCAAGTTCTGGTTGCGGCAGTTTTTAAGAAAATTCAAGTTGCACAGCGAAATAACCCTCCTTTGTCTTAGTTTTTCATAACACTTGGTGGCTGTAAAGGTCTCCTTCCCGTAAAGGTGTATGATATTCTCACGTATTGATTCACGGATGGAAAAATATGATGACACTATATTCCGGGATATCATCCGTTCGCTCGTTGAACTCCTATCCTATATATATATATATATATATATATATATATATAATATATATATATATATATATATATATATATATATATATATATATATATATATATATATATATATGTTTTCGGAGCGCGAGCATTGAAGATGCCAAGTGAGATTTTGGCGAAACGTCTGCAGGATTCCAGTCGGATGCAGGAGCAGGATG